CCAATTCTATAGCAATATCTCCTAAGGAGCAAAACTCAGATGTAATCCAAGACATAGAACTCTAAGAGTCTATGAAAAGATTAAACATATAAATTATGTGCAAGTGCCATTTCAGATTCTTATACCCCATAAAAGTATACTTAAATTGAAGATGACATAGAACTTTTAGTGATAAAAATCAGTTAGAATAGTACTGACTTCTCAATGGAGACTCTGAAAGCCAGATAGCCTAGATAGATGTTCTACAAGCTGTAAGAGACCACAGATGCAAATCTAGACTATTAAACCCAGCAATCTCACAATTGATGGAGAAAGAAAAACATGCCATGATAAAAATAAATCTAAGTAATTTCTGTCTACCCATCTAGCTTTACGCAAGGCACTAGAAGGAAAATTTCAAAATGAAAGTGTCAACCACACTCAAGGAAAAAGAAAAGAATAATGAACAATGCTAAACTAGTAAGTCACAGGCATCAGAGTATGTGCTGTGTGGGGTCACAAAACAAAAAAACAGAATACCAGGAATCAACAAACACTGGTCATTGGTAACTCTCTAAAAATAATGGTCTGAGTTCCCAATAAAAATATATAGACTAACAGAATAGATGAGAAATCAAGATCCATCCTATGGATAAATCCAAGAAAGATGTATCAACACCATGTACAGACATCACCTCAGGTTAGAAGGGTAGAAAGTGGTATTCCAAACAAAAAGATCCAAGAAGCAAACAATTGTAGCTACTTTAATATACAACAAAACAGACTTCAAATCAAAACTGATCAGAAGGCATACGTAAGAATACTGCATTTCCATTTTTAAAAAAATCCACCAAGAGGACATCTCAGCTCTAAGCATGTATACACCAAACATGGAAATACCTAAGCTCATAAAAGAAACTCTCCTAAAGCTAAAAATCACAATGGATCTCACACAGTAATAGTGTGTCACTTCAACACCTTACCCTCACCTAAAGACAGGTCATCAGGACAAAAACTAAAGAACAAATGCTAGATTTAGTTAATATCATAAAGTAAATTGATGTAACTGGCATCTCCAGAACATTCTACCCAAACACTACGGAAGGTGTTTTCTTCTCAGTAACCTATGGAACATCATTTGTATAGGAAAGACTTTTCTGGATGATTGTGTTGATGCATGATAAAAGCAGGAATGTGGGGATATACTACATATGACTAACTTTCCTCTGAAAAGTATGACTCTCAAACAGGGGAGGAGTTTTGGATAAGTGGTGTCTCTACACAGACTAGGACCTCCATTCCACAACCTTTGAGATGAAGCCTTGGTTGATCAGCCCTACCTGTGGTCTAATCCCTAAGAATATGAAGATTATACCACTTTGTTTCTCCAAGTCCAAATGAGTGAGGAAAGAGAAAGAAGGTGGGAGACAGGGAATCTCAAAATTATATTTGAGGATACATGGTTTTCTGATCCTGAAGAGGTAACAGAGAGATCTCTAGTGGACCCTCCATTGAGGAGGTATCCAGTCTACTTGACCCCACAGGAAGGAGTACAGAGTATATAGAGTGAGTCCAGGGTCTCTGACTCAGTCACATTGGTTTAGGACTGCATAGGTTCCACTGGCAGCAATGGTATGGTAACTGAGCCTCATAGAGGCATGTGAAAATGTCTGTTTGTGGTAGTGTAGCTCCTCAACAGCCTACCAGATATGGGAAACCGTTAATAGATTGGAGGCTAAGATGTCTAGTAGGGCCTGGGCTAATGTTGAGAACTGATAGATAGACAGACTGACAGCATAACAGGATCGTAGAAGGATCTCAGACATACATAAGAGACCTTACTCAAACCATGAAGGCTCCTCTTAAACCTGATCATCATTGCCTAACGTATTATGGTCCTAAGGACTCTCTCAACAAGTTCACAGCCACTTTGAGCTTACCCATATGTGAGCAGTGCACATCCCTGAGATCCCCACTCCAGCCTTTGCTTTTTAGGTGTCTCAGGAAAGACTGTGCCATTGTCCATGTGGCATTTTTAATGTAAGTGGAAGATATTCACCAAATTCATCCTAGTCTCCTCCCAATGTCTTGCCTGATCTCTCCCTTCCTTCTTCAGCAGTTTCAGTGTCTCTAGAGATTGAGTCATCTTTTCCTGTTATTATGGGAGTTTAGTTTCCATTTGAAAGGCAAAATCACCAAGAGGCTAGAGGTGAGGATCACTGCTGTAACCCAACAAACTAGGTCCCTTTGCCATGGGCTATAAAAATGATGTTCCATAGGTTACTGAGAAGAAAACACCTTCCATAGTGTTTGGGTAGAATGTTCTGGAGATGCCAGTTACATCAATTTACTTTATGATATTAACATACCCCCACCATGTGGCCTCCCCACAAGGCTATGTAAAATACAACATGAAAGGAGTTTGAGAGGGAAAGGTAGGCATGATAGTGCTTTAAATACAATATTCTTGCATGAAATTTCTACAAACAAACATCTTAAACTTAAAAATAGTTTCCTGACAAGTTGGAGGTTAAGATGGCTCTGGTTACTTTTTACATGTGCACAGGCATCTACAATTGTCCAAAAGAAAAAGGAAATCAAGAAATATAATTTTGGTTTGGAGTTTTTACTATATTTATAGATTTGGTGCTCTTTTTCTACAAGTGTAGAGAATGTTTCTTTTGGGTTTGAAACTCTGAACATCACTGTCCCCCACGACACCATCAAGTAGGATTGTATTATTCCAAAGATCCACACTCAAGTTCCATACCACTTTGAGAGCCATTCTGTGTGATTCTTTTTTACTTCTCAGCCAACTTTCCTTCCAAATACCCAGGGGAGATTTTCCCTCTTCCTTATAGATGGATGAGCCAGGTGCAACAACCTTAATTAAGAAGAGAAACCTGGGCATATGTAACACCACTGACCATGGATACTTCTCTAAAGTCAATGCTTTTAAATATTTTTTTCCTACTTTGAAAGACAAGTTGTCTTCTAAAGGTGTCTACAGTAGGTGCTACCTCCTGCACTCCAAGTCCAATGAACATGATACCATCAGTGTGACATGATTGGGGTCCTTGCAGTAGATGTTACTGTCCCTATTTATGCATGCAGATGCATTCCTCATATTGATAGCTGCAAGAGATATGTCATTTGTAGCAACAATAAAACAAGAAAACTACACCAAGAACAACTTTTGTTGGAGTAACCACTCAGTTTAATTTACATTAATCCACTGTAATTCTCCAAGATGCAAATAGATGTTCAGTAATCTATTATTTGCATTGACTCCTGGGTAACTCCATGTATACCAAGGCCCTGGTTTACTTTTTGGTAAAAAGAGGCAGCTGTGAAGTTTTTCACTTTTCTATCATAATATTACTTCCTGAACCAGGCAACCACTATGGGGATGCTTCCAATTGATAACTATGTCTGTTCCACCTCTTCATTTATGAGTTGTAAAATGAGAGTGTTCATTTGGGACCTTGTGTGTAGAACATATCAAAGCCAGATGCATCTAACTGGGGCTACATAGAAGAATTTGGAGTCTTTACAAAGTATTATCCTGTCAGATCCAATGCACAGTAATAAAAAATACTATTTTTTTCTCTAATTCATACTGCTGTGCATAGACAGACCCCTTGCAGCTCTGAGGAAGCAAAGAAAGGAAGTGCAGAAGGATAGAGTTGGAACCAGAACTTTTCTCGAAGGCACCCAGTCTCTATTATACAAAGAGGTCTGATTTGTCTGGTCCAAGCTTGGGAACTAGCCGAGGCTTCCTATGATAGTCAAGACCTCTTTTAACCAGACCTAGGTTTTTTTCTGCAAAGCTCCATGATTCTAGAATATCAAGTCCAATTAGATTGTTCATTGAGATGCATTGTCTCTGAGTCTGAACAAGTACTTGTTTGAGTTGCTACATTAATCTAGCTGCATGGTATCTTTTTCTTTGAAATATCTTCATAATAAATTGTTTTTATCTTTTAAAAAACAGAGTTTTGCTTATTATTTTGACCAAAGACATAATGTACAAACTTACCATCTTCATTAAACATGTTCTTGAGTCCTTAGACACAATGAGCCACCCAAAGCCTTATCTTGCATTACAGATACCCCAAATATTTTATTATGGGATATTCTGAAAGTCCACTGGGTTCTCCCTAAATGTGTATTATAATGTCAAACAAACAAAATATTAGCATGATTAAATCAGGACATTCACTTATGGCAGCTGTTCTCAACCCCATGAGTCACCATCCCTTTAGGGGTCAAATTCGAGATATCTTGCATGTTAAATATTTTACACTAAAATTCATATTTGTGATAAAATTATACTTATAAAGTAGCAATGAAATACTTTTATGGATGAGGTTATCACAATATGAGGAACTATATTAAAGGGTCACACCATTAGGTTGGGATCCAGTGACTTAATTACAGACTTGGTCATGTTCTACATGCTGAGTATTCAACACACTCTCCCCACACCTTCATCCCTCACAGCCACATTCTCTCTTTTCCTTCTTATTTGAATGAAGATGAGATGCCCTCACACTGGTCAATACAAACAATGGAATTCAGGCTAAATCTGATCACCACCAGTTTTTTTTTTAATAAAATATACTCCTCTCACCCATCTGTTCATACACTACAGATGCCTGTGTTTGTGCTACAGTGACAGAGGTGATAGTTTACACATATGAAGTATGGGTCTCAAAGCAGACAATAATACCTGAATGCTTACAAGAACAGTTCCATGATCCTTCATCAAGATCACCATCCCTTTTTGTACTTTTCAGGCCTCCTAGGAGCTATTTTGAAGTGTGCAGTTCCAACATTATCCTGGGATTGAGGAGTCTCAGAATCTGGCCACAGATTCAACACCCCCAGAGAGCAGAGTCATGAGAATTTCTGATAAGGAATGTAGAGGTTGTCCAAGCCAGATCTGTGGTTTCCTGCCCTTCCTTTCTCCCACACTGGAACTATAAAAGCAGGAACAAGTACAAGAACACACCAGAACCTCACCCCAGACTGTACCACTGGCAAAATGCTGGCCCTACTCTTCCTGATGGCACTTCTCTTACCTTCTAGAGCTGGAGCTGGTGAGTTTGGCCTTTATCTCTCTAACCTCTGAGTTTTAGCATGAGTTTTAGTTTTTACCATAATCTGTTAGGTAACAAAAACTCTAACACAAGACATGATCCTAAATTAAGGTGTCCAGGGGAAATTTCTAGGTCAAAGAAATATGAAAGACAAATTCCCCTTCACATCATTTCATCAAATTACTCTCTGTTCTGACAGGGAGCTCTTCTCTGCCCTTCCCTTAGTATTGAGGTAGATGAGATGAGGGTGTGAAGAAATGGCTAATAAAATGGAAAACAGTTACATGAATGACCACTGTGTTCTGAGTGAAGGATGATGGTGGACAGGGAGCACTGGGGAGGAAAGATCAACATGTGGAGGGACCTGAGCCACATGTGAGGTGGGGTGGGCTTGGAGCACTTGCTCAGCTTTACCCAATCTTCTCTTGCTAGTACTGTGTTGGGGTGTCCTGCAAGTTTGTGATCAGGGATTATGGGTTCTTTGTTCCAGAGGAGATTATTGGTGGTGTTGAGGCTAAACCACACTCCCGCCCTTACATGGCCCATCTGAAGATCATCACATACCAAGGTTTAGAGGACAGTTGTGGTGGGTTTCTTATAACCCGCCAATTTGTGCTGACTGCTGCACACTGTAAAGGAAGGTAAGAGGCTTCTCTTCCTGTGAGGAAATGCAGGAGCCAGAGTCACAGAGCAGCAGAGGCCTGAGGAAGTCTCTGAGTCCTGTTCATCTCCAGATGGGCTCTCCTTACACTGAGAGGAAAAAGGGAGCATAAGGCCACTCACTGGACCATGTGAGGTCTCAATTCATGTGTGGTCTTAATTTTCAGAGGTCAGAGCTTTAAATAGAAGTCTGGTCAGGATAAATCCACAGCTCTTCCTTTTGGGATTGTCACCAGACAATTGAGATTGCTCAGACGTGGTCCTGGGTGGTACTCAATGTAGAATGCCCATTTGCTATGTTCAAAGTTATGGGTTCAATTCATGCACTGGAAGGCTGGTTGTGGAGAGTTCTCAGTTCTCTGTTTTCCTGAACTGCATCCTTCTGGCAAGGCAGTGGTCCTGGGAGCTCCATTCAAGACTCTGTCCTCTCTGCACTGGAATAGAGAAGATAGAACTCAGTGCCCTTCTTGGAAGTCCAGCACATTTCACTACTTTTTTTTATTCAACAGAGAAATCACTGTCACCCTTGGAGCTCATAATTTGAGCAAGATAGAATCCACACAGCAGAGTATAAGAGTTGAAAATCAAATCGTTCACCCCAAATACAGCATCTACTCCAATCTCCATGACATCATGTTACTGAAGGTGCCAATAGTTTTCGTTCCCTGCTTAAGTCTCCCATCATTAACTCTCTTCCTGGCTCAGGCCTTTGAATTCTCTCTTGTCCAAATCATTTCCTCAGAACCCACTCCTGAATTCTCAATGGGAAAGGAGCCATATCCAAGCATCCTTTACTGCTTTGACATATCTTCTCTTTTTCTGCCAACAGCTTCAAAATAAAGCAGAGTTGACTCCTGTTGTGGATGTAATTCCCCTGCCTGGTCCCTCTGATATTATCAAACCTGGGAAGATGTGCTGGGCAGCTGGCTGGGGGTTAACTGGAGTGAATAAACCTACCTCAGACACCCTGAGAGAAGTTGAACTGAGAATCATGGATAAAGATGCCTGTAAAATCTATAGGCATTATGACTATAACTTCCAGGTCTGCGTGGGCAGTCCCACAATGTTAAAATCTGTATACATGGTGAGTACACATCTGCTTTTCCTCACCACATCAGAAAACAGCATCAGTGGAGGAAGTGTGCTAAACAGCTCTCCATGGCACTGACTAATGCCTGTGTTCTTAGGCTTCTAGCCTTGTGAATTGGGAAGTGAAATTCTACTTCTCTGTCTCATCTCTCTATGCCCAAACCTTTCCTACAATCTTCGCATGAGGCTAGACATGAGACAGGAAGAGAGTAAAGGGAGTCATGTTAGCAATAGGTTAAGGTCAGGGAGGAGGGGGATTAGTCATTAAATCCCTAATTTAGGAATAATAGTGAACCAGGACTTCTTACTCCAATCTGGTAATGGCTATGGTGTGGAGTTTGAAGTTGGGAAAAAGCAAATTTTGCTCATAGTATGATTTTTCTCACCTACAGGGAGACTCTGGGGGACCTCTAGTGTGTGCTGGTGTGGCCCATGGTATTGTATCTTATGGACGTGAAGATGCAAAGCCCCCTGCAGTCTTCACTCGAATCTCCTCATACATGCTCTGGATTAATAAAGTCTTAAAAGGCAAGTAGCTAAAAAGCCTGAGTAGCCTGAGACAGAGTCTCCAAGCCTGCACTTATCTGGTACCCCTTGAGTTTAACACAGCCAGCACCAGTCTGTCCCTAGCCTTACCACAGCCTGCCCCCAGCCTATCCCCAAGACAATCTGAAAGATAAACAAATCTGTGATGATGGATTATTCCCTGTAATGCACCTCAATAAAGATATAATCTCTTGTGCCTTCGTGATTCCAGTCTGTGTTCTAAACACTCAGCACCTCTCTAAGTACAATAGAGAGTTGATTTGAGTTACTATCCTGCCATGTTAACAATCTTGAGTATTGGCTTCCTGGTACAGGTGTGACACTGTGGATGACACAATATTAACCAACATGCATGGGTGTTTACAGTAAGATTTCATATCCAGAGTAGTGTGCACTGTTCTGTTCTCCTCCACTGTCGTTTCTTCTCCCTCTGTGTTTCTCAGCTCTTCTCTCCACAAACCCCATGCCATAGCCATTGTGTCTTCCCACACATCATAGGAAATACCATGTCTAGGTCAGACATGGCTGTTGACAGCTTGTGTCCGCAACACTCATGCTGCTGTCTCCATCTGAGCTCTCAATAATGCACCTGAAGCTAGAGGAGAGCCTGCCCTCAAAAGTACCTAGACCATGACTGTGGCTGCAGCAGCCACCACAGGAGAGCACCAGCACTTTCTGGAGGGAAACACAGGGCAGAAGTTGCCATCATTGGCAAGAGACCCTCTAGTACTTAGCATGAATTAGTACTTCCCATAGAGGCTCTAGGCATGCTTCTTCGATACCCAAATGTAACAGCCTTTCAGAAGAATGTCAGGGTTAGTTGAACTTCTAAGTATCCTGCTCTCCTCTTACAAGCCCAAGCCCCCAAAGTCTTTAGTCAAGAGAAAGGACACATTAGCTGCAGGATACTGTGGACTCTGAAATGAAAGATAACACACCAGAGGTCTGCTATGCTCCAAGGAGGCATAATACAGTGAAGGTGGCCTTCTGACTACTGTACCATGAAAAATTGCTTCCAGTAGCAGCCCCAGGCTAGAACCTTAGCACCTCAGCCCTCCTCATAGCCTGGCAGCCTCATGTCTAGCTTTCTGGCTTGAGCATTGTTCAGTAGAGATGCAAAGATAGCTATCATATACAAGACTGACTTTAAGTTCTCTTGTAACTCTATAGGGAAGGGAGTATATATGGTATTAAACAACCTAAAAGGATCTTTAAAAAATAGAGAATCCATGGGGATTATGGTTACCTGGGTGACTGTCATTTAATTTTTTTTATCTTTTGTTGATAGTTGTGTAACTAAATCATAGGGTCTTTCCTCATTTTGACTTAGATTGGTGTGGTTTGGCCACAGTCTCACCGAGTGGATCAGACTGACTTTCAACTCATGATCAGTCTGCCTCAGCTTCCCTAGTGCTGGGACACTGAAGCATGCTCCACAACTCTCAGCTTACACAAAGGTCTTAAACCCTGAAAAACAATAACAGATGGGAATACTCACTAACCTGCAGCTGAGGGCACTCTGCCTCTTTACCCCATACTCTAAGAAGGACATGTACTTGGGACAGTCTTCCTCCATGAAGCTGGGCAAGTGGAGGTGAGGAGAGAGTGATTGCCCAACCCTGCAGCCTGGCCCACAGCAATAGGGGATCAGGGGGAGACTCCTGAGAGCTCAGCTGAGGACACAGGCTCAATGGCTTTCAGAAAGGTCATCACTACAGAGCAAACACCATCACATGGGCCTCTGTTGTCAAAGGAGCCATTGATGATACAAAGGCTGCAAAATAATGGCCACAGTGTTCATTCGTATGCATGGTAAATTGTGCACAGGAGGAGCAGGCCCAGTGCACTCTGGGAACAAGAGAACAGCCATGGTTTCACAAGGCCAGCAAAGGAAACATTTGGATAAGAAGGTTTTTCTCATGGTGGGTACAGTAGCAGTGCTGGGCAGCCTAGCTTATTTAAGCCTCTCAGTGCACTGTTAGCAGCAGATACACATTGAGAGTGTCCAAAGGGAAGATCAGCTCAGCCAACAGCAGATGAAGAAAGCATCCAGGAGGTCAGCAGGTGCTCACTCAAGCTTTGCCAAAGTGGAAACCATCCCAGATGTCAGAGAATATGGGTAAGACTTTAGACCACAGGAATTGTAATTGAGAGGAATGTGCAGGTCTAAATGCTGAACAATGAGTAAAGGAGATGTAAATTCCAAAAACTAGAAAGTTTACAATGAGGAGAGTCCAGTTTCTGGTGAGCCAGGGTTATTACTATCCTGCTGCATGTGTAACCACCTGATCCCATCTGTTCTCCCACCATCCAAGGAATGTTTTTATCAATTATTTTATAAATAAAAGTTTTAATAAGTCTAGAAACATTTTTAGGAAGGAAGAAATATGGCTTTTTATCAAAAGAGTTCTCAAATGACACTGTTGGTGGCTAAGGGGTCCTAGTGGCAGACTGCCTATATTAGATTCCTTTCATTGCATTTTTAACTTGAGAAATAAAGATTGTATGTACTTATGATACACAGCATGATTTCCTTGCTACATGTGTACAGGAAGAATGACTAAATATAGCTAATTAATATTATAAATATCTTAGATTTTTTGCATATTAACATCTAAAATCTCTCAGTGAGTTTTAGTTATAAAATACAGTGTTATTAAGTGAGATGTAGTAGCACACTCCTGTAACTCTAGGACTTTGGAGACAGAGATAAGAGGACCAGAAATTCAAGATTATCCTTGGCTGCATAGGGAGTTTAAAACCAGCCTGGGCTACATGTATACTGTTTCAAAAAAAAAAAAAAAAAAAACAAGACAAAAACTGAACAAACAAAAACCCCAAACCATTATTACTAATTATACTCACCATGGTCTCCAACAGGGCTGTAAATCAGGTCTTGGGCTTTGTTAGCTCCATGGCTTTAATTATGTCCTATTTTAGTTTTTACTTAGGTAACAGTTCACCCCTATAGGTAAAAATCTGTAAGGGAAAGTCATACAGGGAATATTTCACTCTTCGAAATTCCTTGTACACTGCCCCTGAGAAGGTGAGCACACTCCTGTGGAGGACCACAACCCTAAGAATATTTGGGCAGCACAAATTATCTTGTAGAAAAAAAATGCCTCAAAATTTGGCCAAAATGGAAGTGTGGTAAATCTGCAAAGAACTGGGGAAAGAGAGTGTTAAGATGGATTAAACTATCAGTGATTGTATTTGCCAGGGTTCTCTAGAGGATCAAAACTGATAGAACTTTAATCAATTAATGGATTAGGGTGGATTACATGCTGTGGTCCAGCTAACCCAACAATGACTGTCTACTAACAAAATCCAAGAATCCAGTAGTTGTCAGTCCACATGGAAAAATATCTCAACTGGTCAACTGGTCTTCAGTCTATGCCAATTTCCTGAAGACACAGGGTTTAATATCTGTGAAAGGATTTATTTGCCATAGAGTGTGAGAACAAGCTGGAAAAGAGAGAGAGAGAGAGAGAGAGAGAGAGAGAGAGAGAGAGAGAGAGAGATTAAGAAACAAAAAGACAGACAAAACTTTGACAGATATGAATTAAAGATGGGTCTTCACATTACAAAGAATTTATAAGAAACTTTTTCTTCACCTCTTGAGTTTAAGTTAATCCCAGATGTAGTCAAATTGCTAACAAGGGATAGCCATCACAGTGATTAACTCCAACTCACCAATTATGCATCAGTGCTGCATTAAGAAAAGAAATAAAAGCATTTCCCTTGGAGACATTTAACTAAGAATTAGTAACACATAAATTCTCTACACTACAATGTGTTCTGCTCTCTATCTCTTGTATAAGTCTGGTTTGTGCCTGCTTGAGGCTATCTTATAAATCTGTCCATGTCTGTATCTGTGCCAGTATGTCTGTGTGTCTGTCCATCACAAAGAGCTTTGCTCTGTATGTACTGAAAACATAGAAAGCATCACACAGGGAAGGAATGGGACACTCTACAGACATCCTTAACAGAAATGTGCAAGGGATTGAATCACTGACTCCAACTGACTCAGACAACAACCATAAAAGTTCATCAACCAATATACACAAATATGCTCACCATTTATGATGGATATTCACTTGAGAAGATCCCTTTCACCCTGTGTGATTCTTGCTTTCAGTAAATGATACACATGCATGGGTCTGTGTGTGGAATGATTAGCTCATGTGTGGGTGTGCAGATACGGATTCCTGTTGGGCAGAGTTGTGGTCCCCGCACATCTGCCATGGCTCAGTTGGTGGAATCATGGCTCAGAGTGGCAGAAGAGTGGGAATTTTGACTGAGTTGATTCCGTGAGGCACTAGGTGGGCACTGGGCTGTGAAAAGCCACCAGGGCACCCCTGGGTGGAGAGAGAACTAACTCTAAACTTCTTTGAAGGACAGGGGCTCTTGAGTGGACTTGGAGGGTGGTGGTCTCTTTCAGGGCTCCCAGACTCTGCTGGGGAGCCACAGACAAACAGAGATTGGGGGCTGTGGAATATCCTGCAGCCGAGAAGAACGACGGAGAGGAAAGCCCTCTGGAAGAGACTTGGTTACTGTACTCAATACTTGGAGGGCCCCTCCATGGTTTTCCATGGCAGGCCCCAATGACATGAGGGAGTCCATGGTTTCAAATGGCTTTATTTTCATAGTGGATGATAGTTGAATCCAGATGCTTCCCCCACTTAGGTCAGAGCAGACCTGACCTAAATAGGGAGGGAGGAGAGAGGAGGGCCTGGGAAAAGAATACTTAATTGGCTATGCCTTCTGGCCTTTAGGTATCTCATTAATATGGAAATCTCTTGAGAGCCTGAGGCCTGTAGTCATGCCCTCTACTTGTGGAGAGCCTGGTAGAGGCATTGCTCTAGGTGACTGAAAGGTGCAGGTCAATGGAAATCTTAGACCACATGTCAGGACCCTGGGTTCTGGGAGTGCAGCGAAATATATGCCTTCTATCACAGGCTTAGATACCTGTTGGGTCTCCTGGCTATTTCCAGCCAGCACTTCTACCAAAACCCAAGTCATCCTTTCAGGACACCACAGGTCTGGGACAGGCAAAGAAGTAACAGCTTAGATTCTGACAACTGATTACATGGGAACTCAAGGCAAGTAGGCTTGGTTGTTACACTGTTCTCTGAAAGGCAGGTTAAACCAGCATTGTGAGCACACAGTAGGGCAGCAGTCTTAAGTCTTAGTGACTT